TAAAAATAAACTCAGAGTCTTTCGTCAGTTCAAAACGGATTATAACTTTGAAGAATATTTAAGTCAAGTCACCAATGTTAAGCACAGAGTGGCGCTTACAAAATTAAGAATTAGTAACCATAAGCTTGAAGTAGAAACGGGGAGGTATAAGAGGCCTTATCTCATTTACGATGAAAGGATTTGCCCAGTGTGTAAGTCGGGAGTAGAAAACGAAAAACACTTCTAGTTTGGTGTCCACTATATGACTCTCATAGAAACGACTTAAGAGAGTTCATAGAAAAAAACACCAGCATTAATTTCAACAATATGAGCGCTGACAGTCGTTTTATGTTCTTAATCAATTCAAAATAAGCGTCTCTACAAAGAGCCATATCAGCATACATTCATCAACGTATGCTGATACGTGAAAATGAATTAAGAAAATTACCTAATACATAGTATATATATATACCTATAATATATTTGGAATCAAACACTCATGTACTATTAGTATAAGGTGCCAAATAAAATTGTATTGTATTGTATTGTATTGTATTGATCCGCTGAACAGGGTATGGTTTTTCGAGCTTATTGTCATAAACAGGGCATGCAATTTCACTCAAGTTTCAAGTTCTTCCTGAGTTTCCTGTCATATTCAGGATTTCTACTTTCGTATTGACTGAAACTTGTTACCATGGTCGTAAAAAAAATGATACGTGAGATGACATGATAATTGAAACAGGAACTCAGTGCAATCGATTATATCTTTTGTCACTATTGTATTTGACTATTTTCACGACATCAAACCAGAAAACAAGAGATCAAAACTACCTCCAGGATTCTACAAGCCATTAAAAAAGAGCTATTACCGGAAGTGACGTCTATTGATAGCAACCTATTGACAGATTTTGTCACGTACTAATCTCATGGGTAGAATTTCAGAGATGTTTAATAGGAACACACAGGAATCCCAAAACCAAAAAGCCCTTTTATAGAGAGTATTATGCTTTGATGTTTCTCCTTCAGCATAACTCAGTTTTCCCAGTACCTTTGCAAACAATGAAATGATAGTTATGTATTCTGAACTGAGTAAATATCCAGTATGTTTGCTTGACGTCGCAGCCTGGGCCCAAACTGTTTTTGTTTGGCTGCTTCAAGCCGGTTTTGACCATTACTATTCTCTACTTTCACATCCCCATAATACTTTGCGTCTTTGGGGGGTAACCAGAGGGTAAAATCCCACTTATTTTGCTGAAGGCTGATCAGACAATGTTGACAATACCTTGCTTGGTATCCAAAAATAAAATGAAGAAGTAAAAAAAAAACAGAAAAAGATAGAAGCTTGAAGACGTTTAAGGTAAATTTTAAACATTTTTTCGTAAGTCAATACATTTTCTGTAAGACCAAAACTCTTGATGATCTGTACACGCAAAAATAATTGGAATAAACTGATAATCAGTATTGTACAGATAAAAGCAGGCATAGTATAAATTCAATTAGGAAACATTTCAATTTGGGACAGTGTTTTGATTGGTTACCCCCAAAAACGCAAGACATTATGGGGATGTGAAAGTAGAGGATGAGAAAAATTTCCAATCTCGTTCCCAGAGTCCTCCAGCGCCTTCCTCACCAACTACACAGGAAACCCATTCCCCAAAGTGTCTTAACGTGTCAATGTCTTTTACGTTTAGTTATCAGGGTTAGCAGTACTTGGTATTGGTATCTGGACCAAGATAGATGCTGGACAGTTTGATTCGTTCTTAGGGACTAGTGGATATGCTATATCTGCCAATATCTTGATAGCAGCCGGTGCCTTCGTGGTGATCGTTGCTTTCCTGGGATGCTGTGGTGCAGTCAGAGAAAACCGATGCATGCTGGGAACGGTGAGTATTAGACGTAAGCATGGACCGCGCAGAAAAGGGCCTGGGGCTTAAACCTCTCAACATTTTACGACATTTTACTCTTTACTTGTCAAATGTGATTTTTCCTTTCCCAATTCTTGGCTTGCACGTGACGTCATGAAAAAAAATTCCACAGTATTCAATCTACAAAACTGTTTGTCGAATACTTTGTTTACAAAATGTCCTATTCTGAGAGTGATCCACGGTTCTTGGTCAGTTAGTATTGAGGGCTTAAATTCATTGGTGAATTTTCAGTCGAAGACGAAGATGACACCATAGAAAAACGTTTGCGCATGCGTGCACTTTAGCACGTTTTCTAAGAATTTTGAAGAGTTCGAGTGAGAAAAGTAATGTTTGTTTTCTCCAAGTATGCAAAACGTTTGAGAGTATACTTTTGTCAGACCAAGATACTGTATTAACAAACACAATATGAAAGAATTAGCCTTAAGTTTCAAGCGTCGACATAAAGTTTTGGCATTTTGTGAAGTCCAATTAATAAGGCATGTTTGAAAGTCGAATTTACATATGTTTTGACTAATTTGCATACGGATTCAGAGCATGCGCAGACGTTTTTCACTCAATACGTACGTGAAAGAGTGATTGTTGTGCTCGTATTATAATGAAAAGCCGTGGATTTTGAAAGAAGAACGAGAAACTAAAGAAACGAAAATGAAAATAGCGAAGAAAGAGGGTAAAAAAAAAAATAGGTGAAGAAGGAAGATAAATAGAAACACAGATTCAAAAATGAACCTTTTTATCAAATTTCAGTTTTTTGCGGTGCTTCTTCTCATATTCTGTGCTGAAGCTGTTGCTGGAATCCTTGGATTTATTTATCGCGACCAGGTAAGATTTTTGTGCTCAAATGAACATGTCTGTGCTATAGACCAAGCGACCCAAACCCGCAGACAAACTAACTAACCACTCAGAAACGTGAACCAAAAAACGAACTTCCAAACAACCAATTGAACAAACAAAAATTAAAAGAGTAGATAGCTAAAAGCAACGAACAACCAACCAAGAAACCTTCCAATCCTGATGCATGCGCCTAAACACCCCTTCCTTCCTTCATCCATCTATATGAGAATCAGCCATATAACCAAGCAACTAAAAAGAATAAACAATCCCCTCCAACCGTGCACCCAATCACCCATTCCTTCATCCATCATGCATATGAAAATCTGTTATTAAGCAATTATTGGATGAGGTTGAGCATGATATCGTAGATTATCAAGACCGAGGCTACGTTATAACACAGCCAAGGTGTTGATATTTACGATATTATGCGATACCGAATTCAATAATTGCTTTATTATACTTTTTTTTTATATTGGAACATGAACATTGAATTATAGAGACAAGAATTGTGAACGCCATGATGTAGCGTGAAAAACGCAAAATTCTAAATTCAAAAATATATTAAGAATTCTCCATAAAATATATGAAAATAAGTTAAGGATTCCTTAAATAATTGTTTTTGTACATAATTCTGGAAATAAATACACATAATGAATAAAAACAAAACTACCACAGCGTAACCTTGAATGAACTTGACATGATAAATGTATTATCTGTAGGAAAACCTATCAGGGATTGGCTGAGGGCTCTCGACCAATCAGAATTGAGATACTTAGTAAAATGTATAATGATATCATACAATTGTATATAATATAAAAATGGTTGATTGTTGATAAAGGCCGGTTTAGACGGTACGATTTTCGCCTACAACTATCGTATACAACACGCTCGCGTCTGTCGTAGGCGAGTTGTAGGCTTGATTTACACGCTACGACTCGAGTTGTAGTTTGGCGCGAGCGTGTTGTATACGATAGTTGTAGGCGAAAATCGTACCGTCTAAACCGGCCTTAAGAAATTATAAAACAGCAATAAAAATGCATCAGAGTGACTTTGCCTGGCGTGGTGAGTGTGTGAGCAACTTTATTTTCGATGGAATCTAGCTGGATTATTTTTCTCTTTTTGGACGACCTTCGCCTGAATTCACGATGTAAGGACCCGACCTGATTCAACGTACGGCCAGTTCAAATATTCACTTTATTCTGTAGTATTCATGCGACGCAGATTCCTCTCCTTTCAAAACGAGAAGACAAATTTCGCCCATGTAATATCCTGTATTTATTTAACTCTTCAGGTAGAGAAAGAAATCAGTACTGAAATCACCAAACAAATCAAAAACGAATATGGTTTTTCTTCAACGATTGATTATAATGTCAACATACTTCAACAAAGGGTAAATATCTTTGTCATTTATTGGAAGCTTCTCCCTTCCCACCCCATTCCCTAACCAACTGGGAGGGGGGTAGGTATAAACAAAATTGTAGAGTGGAGGCCACAGGGACTAATTTGACAAAGGTAACCAATCACAAGGTAGAATAAAAACAAAGCAAATTCCAACTGTACGCGACAGGTCACCAGGCCCAGAAGAGTTGTCCGAGAGACACTGGGTACTATTGCGATAGAATTAAGATAGTTAACGCAGCACGTGAACTTTAGTTATGAAATTTAGTTATTAAGAGGAATATGGGAGATTGTTATTGAGTTTTTCTTTTGGATTCGATAGGGACACATTCGGTAAGTCTATTATAGTTTGTATTAGATCACACAGATTGATTCTAAGA